ATAAATAAATAAATAAATAAATAAATTCTGCTCATTAAAAAAAAAAAAATTTAGAGGTCAGACATTAAGTGTTCAGTAAAATTATGTGATTTCAGGGCCAGCCAGATAGCTCAGCAGATTAAAGTGCCTGCTTAGGCAGACACAGGGACCCTCCCCCATTCTGTGCTGGCCCCGCCCCCAGGGCATACTGACACTGCAATTGAGACTGGGCTTGGTGGCGCTCACCTGTAATCCCAGTGCTTGGGAAGCTGAAAACAGGACAATCATTATGAGTCCAATCTGTATAATGAAACCTTGCAGACCCTTTACTAAATACATTTTTAAAAAACGTGATTTCAGTGGGCCGCTCCACCGGTGCCTTACCCAGGGTGCCCTAGGTGCTCTGCCAATGGCCTCTGCCAGTCCCCTGGGAGCCGCTGGGCGGCGGCCCTGTCCTAGACGCTCCAGGGGGGCCCAGGGGAACTGACGAGGCTCCAAGTCTAGCCCATGCATGGGAAGCAAGTTAAGGATTAATATGAAGCTCAGAAGCAGATAGTGCCAGACAACGAGCAGTACTTGGTACACATTTGGTTAGCGTGGCAGCATTTCCTTCTCCCACTGCTGCTGAGATGGCAGAAATTAGTCAAATTCAGTATGAAATGGAATACACCGAAGGTATTAGTCAGCGAATGAGGGTCCCGGAAAAATTGAAAGTCACACCACCAAATGCTGACCTGGAACAAGGATTCCAAGAAGGAGTTCCAAATGCTAGTGTGATAATGCAAGTTCCAGAGAGAATTATTGTAGCAGGAAATAATGAAGAAGTTTTCATTTTCAAGACCAGCGGATCTTGACCTTATTTAGTCGACTCCTTTAAAAACCTCTGGTGAAGAGCATATGCAATGTGTTAATTATTGAAACTGTCCTACCAATTTGACTTGAAACTGTCTCATTGCTATTTGTTTCTCAATAAAATTATGGAGAAAAAAAAAACCCTCTGGCACTAAAAACACCTCATGTACTTACACTAAGTGAGAGACTGCTAGATTTTCTGGATTTAGAAAGACCTCCAACCCCTCAAAGTAATGAAATCTGTGCAGTTGGCAGGCTAAAAAGAGAGCGCTCTATGAGTGAAAATGCTGTTCCCCAAAATGGACAGCTGGTCAGAAACAATTCTATACCCGTGTTGCGCGGTGGGTCTGCTGCCACCACTTCCCATCCTCATCATGACAACATCAGATACGGCATTTCAAATGTAGATGCAACAATTGAAGGAGCAGCAGATGACATGACTGTTGTAGATGCAGCTTCATTAAGACAGATAAACTAAACAGACACCTACAACTTCTAGAAGAGGAAAAATGTGCTAAAAGAGAAATGGTCATGTATTCAATTACTGTTGCTTTCTGGCAGCTTAATAGCTGGCTGTGGTTTCTCCACTAGAGGTAACATCAATGCTCAGATATATTGTCTCAGCTGCTGGAAATACAAAGGATTTACAAACGTCTTTGTTTCTGTCTTTGCAGTGTATGCAATTTTATATAGCCCATGCCCTAAAAAAATGTTTTTCTTCCAGAAAGTAGGGGAAAGGACCTATATTTGTATAAGTAAGGTATATTCTGTTCCTCTGCTGTATTCTCTTTAAGCTAGTTCTGCAGTGACATCTTATGTAAAATTCTTTTGCATGTTTTGTAAATAGGTTCTATTTTGTTTTTTTTTTTAAATTGGTTTTTAACCTCATCAGTCTACACAACTGATTCTCTGAAAGGGAGAGAGAATGCATCAGGAATGATTTGGAAGGGTATCTGGAAAGAAAATAAGTGTTTTGTGCTGCTTACCACTAGTAAGCAGTTTTTGCGTGTCATCCTTGCACAGGGGCCATGCTAATCTTCTCTGTATCATTCCAATTTTAGTATATGTGCTGCTGAAGTGAGCACGAGTAAGTAGTTTTGATAATAGACATTTTGGCACCACCTTTCAACATTAACACTTGACATCATGGTCTGGTACCAGATTTAAGAAAATCAAACCACCTAATATGTCATGATCACCTGTACAAATTAAATTGATTCCTAACAGTACAGAAGTAATATATGTGGTGTGTGTGTGTTTTTTTTTAATTTTAGTTTTGCAGATACTTTTGTATGAAATACGTTTTTACTAAGTTCCTGTGTGAGCAACTTAAAAAAAAAAAAAGACTAAGGTACAAATGTAGTGTACTTAATAAACTGTCAACCAAAAAATGTCATTTCATGTTGATATCAAGCTTCTATTATTGAAAACTTTTCTTAATTTTTTTTATATAAAGAAACTTGTTTCCAAATGATTAACTTATTTGTAAATGATTTCCTTTAAAATTACATATTAGGGACTGGGGAGATGGCTCAGTAGAATAAGTGCTTCCCTGGCAAGCGCAAGGGCCTGAGTTCAATCTCAGGTTCCAGAAAAAAAAAAAAAATTACATATTACCAAAATAAGAGTATGTTAGGCCTAATGACTCCAGCATACCCTACTGCTGTAGTTCCTAGAGTGAGACCCACCTCCAGGGACTGGCAGATAATTCTTTTTCTTTTCTTTCTTTTTTTTTTTTTTTGGTGGAACTAGGGATTGAACTCAGGTCCTTGCTCCTTCTACTGAGTCATCTCCCCAGCCCCTGGCAGATATTTGTTACAAATTGGAAAGCTTATTGCTCTTATACATAATCATTTTCTATTTCAGTGAGTTTATTGGTTTAATTTTGCTTGTATGTTAAAGGCTATTTTCTTTTTTCTTTTTTTGCTCCGAATGCCTTCAGGGCAGGTTTGACTGGCTTGAGTTGTGGGGCTCGAACCACAGCATCCTGAGCCTGACAGCTTTGTTGAATTAGTCACTTAAAGAACTGAGCTAAGGGGCAGGCCCCCTAAAAGGCAGAAGGGCTTTTTTTTTTTTTTTTTTTTTGGTGGCTCCAGATTGCCTCCAGCGCTGGTCTGGATTGCCTTGAGTATCTGGGTATTGAACCACCGCTCCCAGAGACTGACTGCTTTGTTTAAGCAGGCACTTAAACAACTGAGCTAATGGGCGGGCCCCCATTAAAGGCTATTTTCATCACATGCAGAGATACTCTTTTTTTCTTTTCTTTCCTCTCTTCAACTTTGAGATCTTTCAGGGGTGAAGAGGTGAAGAAATACTATTCTCCAAAGGCACTGCCCACAAAGAAGTCATCTGCCATCTCTGGGAGAGTTCCCAGAACCACTCATCTAGTGAAATATGGAGCTTCACATGCTTTGACCCGACGAAGCCGGTTAAGAGAATTGTGCATCAGGTGAGCTTCTTGGCTAAAATTAGGGAATAGTTGTTATTTTCCTATGTCAGTTAATTGGAAAGCTTGATGTTTGCTCTCTCTCTCTCTCTCTCTCTCTTTTATTTTTGGTGGAACCGGGGATTGAATTCAGGCCCTTGCGCTTGCCAGGGAAGCGCTTATTGAGCCATCTCCCCAGCCCCCTGATGTTCGTGCTTTGTAACAGAGTACTCAGATAAAAAGAAAATATGGGATTTGTGGACATAAAAAATTATTACTGAGGGGCTGGCGAGATAGCTCAGTAGACTAAGCACCTGTTTAGGCAAGCACAGGGACCGGATGTGGTGGCACATGCCTATAATCCCAGCACTGGGGAAGCTGAAAACAGAAGGATCACTATAAGTCCAAGCTGCACAGTGAGACCCTTTAATAAATATATATTAAAAAATTACGAGAGTGTTTCATTTGTGTTCTCCAGTTGTATCCCACACAATGTAAGCTATAAAGATTGTTTCAGAAGAAGTTTTTTTTTTTTTTTTTAAACCTAGGATAGGGTCTACAGGTTGTTCAGGGTCTCACTACATAGATCATAGATCGGATTCATAGTGATTCTATTTTCAGCCTCCCAAGTGCAGGGATTACAAGCATGTGCTACCACACTGAGTCTCAATTGCCATCTCAGTGTGCCCTGCAGGCGGGACTGGCATGGCACATCTGGGATTGAACCCTGGCTGCTGCATTCTGCCAAAGCAGGTGCTTTAGTCTGCTAAGCTCTCCGGCCGGCCCAGAAAAAGTCTTAACATTGTCCAAGACAAATGATCATCCATTTATTAATTCACAAAAACATTTATTAGGTACCTACTATGCCAGCTGTTACACTTTATGCTTAGCATTTAAGGTGTATCAGCCTTGGCCCATGACCTCATGAAAATTTAAAATCGGGCAGGCTCATAGGCTGTGAAGCCACAACAGTAAAGTATGGTAAGTGCTATGAGCAGAAGGCACATGAGCACAGGCACACATGACAAGTATGGTCACACTGGTTTACGAGCAGTGACTTTCTGGAAAAGTGGCATTTAAGCTGATTCCTAAAGGATAACATGGGGCCGGGGAGATGGCTCAGTGGAATAAATGCTTCCCTGGCAAGCACAAGGGCCTGAGTTCAATCTTCAGTTCAGCCAAAAAAAAAAAGGGTAACATAAGAATAAGAGATGTAAAGGATGAGGAAGATTTTTTCCAGCTGAGTCCAAAGATTGATTCAATAAATCCGTGTGTGTGTGTAAGTGTGTTTATGTGTGTATGTGTATATTAGGCACTGTGCTAAGTCCTGGGGATGCTATTAGACATGGTCCCTGCACTGAGTGGTTCACATTGTAAAGGAAATGACTGTGTGCTGGTGTCATAACATTATATAAGGGGTATGAACAGTGTGCTGAGTACAGACCTCTTTATGCTCTTTGGATTGAGAAAGGTCTGGGTTAAGTGGACATTTGTTAGCAACTTTAGACACAATAATATGAACAAAACATCTATCATAGACTTACTTTTCTTCAGTGAAAAAATCTTAAATCTTTTCTTCAGTGAAAATCTTAAATCTTTTCTTCAGTGAAAAAAAAATACCTTTAGATCAAAAATGTCTTTGTTTGTACAGGGTCTCATTATACAGATCAGACTCATTCTGATCCTCCTGTTTTCAGCCTCCCAAGCACTGGGGTTACAGGCACATGCCATCGCACCATAGCACCCAGTCTCAGTTGTGGCTCAGCATGCCCTGGGGGGAGGTCGGCATGGCATGCCGGAGATTGAACCCCCAGTTCCTGCGTCTACCTAAGTAGGCGCTTTAACCCTGGCGCTATCTGGCCAGCCCTGAAAATGCTTTTAGAAAGTATATTTGGTGCAATATACTTGAAGGGCCAGCCAGATAGCTGAGTCGACTAAAGCACCTGTTTGGACAGGCTTAGCAGCAGGGGTTTAATCTCCCGTATGCTATGCCGGCCCTGCCCTGGGGACACACTGAGACCGGGACTGAGTCTGGGTATGATGGCCCACACTTGTAATCCCAGCGCTTGGGAGGCTGAAAATAGGATATCACTAAGAGTCCGATCTGTGTAGTGAGACCCTGTAGACCCTGTACTAAATACATTAAAAAAAGAAAAAAGAAAGTAATCTACTTGAAGTTGAGCGTGGCAGTGCATACTTATGATCTCAGCACTCAAGAGGTTGAGGCAGGAGGACTGGGAGTTTAAGGCCATCTTGGGTTACACAGTAAGTTCAGGGCTAACCTGGCTGAACTACAAAGTGAGACCTTGTCTTGAACAATAACAAAGTAATCTGTTTGATTTTGGCTTTATATATCTGTCCCTTCCTCTCCTTTATTTGGTGTAATATTAGCTATATCACCTTTTGACTCATACTAATGTTCCTTCCCCTGGGACTTTAAAAGGTTCCTCTCCTTTCTAGAAAAGTTATGTAAGCCAAGTGGAGTTCAAGGTGTGTATATCTTTTCTTTCCTTCTTTCAGATGCGTGGCCAGAAAATTCTTGTATTTGTGGATTCAAATGACTTTTGGAAGAGTTTTTCCTTCTAAAGCCAGGTAGTATTAACCCAGAATGCCAATTTTTTTCTGAGCTTATTCTGGATTTTTATTTTAAACATTTGTGTAACCTTTATCATGGCTTGTGTTATTACATTTTTTCCTCTTATCCTTCTGGCCTCCTTCAGGTGTGAACAGTACTTACTATAACCATATAAATATTGTGGGTCACTCAGCATAGGAACCAAATCAGAAGCCAAATTGGAATTGGAATTTGAGCCTTTATTTGCTGAACTCAGGGCCGTCAGTCAGTTCTTAACAGGCGAAGACTGATCTGCCCCTAGCCCAGGCAGCAAGGAATTTTTAAAGCAAAAAAATCATGACTAAGGGGTCTTTCACAGTTCAGCAATATATGCAACTTGCCCAACTTGCCTGTGTAGGGGCTTGTTGAGCAAGCTATTTGTACAAGATACATCTTATGCTGACTGTGATTACAGGAATTAGATTAGGGAGAGGAGGGGGCCAGTTACTTGTTACTAAACAGACTTGAACAGAGGGGAGAACACATCCTTAGAGTAGATGACAGGAAGCAGAAGGGAACTTAATAGTTTTCCATAGTTATAGCACAAAAGTAAGTTGACCCATTAGAATAATATAGTGGTGATTTCATGGCCATTAGTTGACCGGATTAGGGTAGGAAGGAATCATGTGTAAGTAAACCTGGGGAGTTAAGACCTCTCGGGGAAAAAAGGATTCCCTAGAAGTAAATGAACTCATTCAGGGAATTAGTGATTGGCACTGGCAAAAAGAGTGAAATTTTAGTGAGGAGCATATCTCTCTGCCACATTCTACACTTTATGCTCGTGTATGTCTGATTTTTTTTTTTTTTTTTTTTTTTTTTTTATGCTATACTTTGTGTAGACTACCACCACACACTGCCGCACTTTTTGGTTACAACTGCTTTGAGGTGCTTGGCTAAGGAGAGAGTACCAGATGTGGGGATCACTGAGCATGCCGCATTGGGATCCACACAGGCTGTGTTTTGGGGGGAGGATTGGTAGCTCTTGAAAAACTGAAATGTAATGGGAAGTTCTTCCTTTTCTCTTTACCATCTCTTGTACACTTTTCCTTTTTCGTAATTCTTGTTGGTTTCTGTTTTATGAAACTTTTTTTGCGGTTTTTAGATATTGAACCCACTGCCTCACACTTGATAGTCAAGAACTCTACTGCTGACTTTTATTCTAGCCCTAAAATCTTTACTTTGTATGCCTTTTTTGGGGTATTGTGCTGTTGTTGACCCTCTCCTTCCCCTTTTTCTTAAGATTCAACCCAGGGCTTTTGCACTGAGCTGTATCCTAGACCATTTTTATTTTTCAGGACTGGGTTTCACAGTATGGCCTGATAGCTCAGTGGACTAAAGCGCTTGCTTAGGCAGAGCGCAGTGCCTTGCAGGCCCCGCCCCCAGGGCGTGCTGAGACTGCGAATGAGACTGGGTGTGGTGGTGCACACCTGTAATCCCAGCACTTGGGAGGCTGAAAACAGGAGAGTCACTAGAGTCTCATCTACATAGTAAGACCCTGTAGACCTTGTCCTAAATACAGAAGAGAAAAGGAAAAAAAACAAACAAAAAACCTGGGTTTCACTAAGTTGCTAAATTGTCCACGTTGTGCTTGAACTAGTGATCCTCCTGCCTTAGGCTTTCAGAGTGCTGGGATTACAAGCATGTGCCACCCTCTCAGCTTTATATCCTTCTTTGTGTGTCTAGAGTGATTTACTGCAGTGGCCTTAGTCCATTTTAGCTACAGGGATTAGACATCCCTCCCTTCTCTGATTTGCTGTCTCCTCCTGGGCCTTGACCCTGTGCTGCAGTACCTTGTTAGCTCTCAGTCTCTCAAATAAATTTATGGGGTGTGGTGGTGTAGCTCAGTGGTGAAACCTTAGATTTAGTCCCCAGCACTGAGAAAAATAATTTTTTTGGTCCTACTTTTCTTATTTTCTGAGAGAGTTGCTCCCGATTGCATAGTTTGCCAAAAATTAAATAATTTGCCATTATTCTCTCTCATTTTAAAATTCAGCTGAGCTAAGTTATATACTCTTACTGTCCTAAAGAATGTAATATGTAGCTATAACTATAAACATAACTGTCATTTTATTTTCTAGAAAAGATTTCATAAAACAGGCCAATGTCCTATGAGAAAGTAGGAAGAAAATTTTATGTATATTTTTAAATCTACAAAATGTTATTTTCATTTTGTACAATGTTCACGTAGATTTATTCATTTAATAACCCTTTCAGTTCCTCTTTTTTTGTTCCTCCCTCTCCAGGTTTTTATCTGTGGTACTTTTTTATTTTTTTATGATTGTAACATTTCTTAGTATTTTCTCTAGGGGTAGGCCTGCTAGTGATTAATTCAGGTTTTGTCTGTATAAAAATGTTATTTTACCACTTTAATTTTGAAAGGATATTTTCAGTGGATATAGAATTTTAAGTTGCCCCCAACAAACACACACATACTTTAGAGGCATTTCATTGTCTCACAGCTGCCATTTATAAATTGTTCATCTGGGGCCAGGGCTATGGCTTGGCATAGTACCTGCCTAGTATGTGTGAGTTCTGAGTTTGATTCCCAGTAGCAAAAAAGAAAGATCAATAAACTGATTATCTACTTTTTGTTCTCTGGAATTCATTCTTTGGCTTAGTTTTTATATATTTATTTATTTATTTTTAAATTTTTTTAACATTTATTTATTTTGTGTGTGTGTGTGTGTGTGGCCAGCTCAGCCCACCAGGGGGCGCGGCTGGCTGGCATGTGGTGCTGGGGGATCGAACCGCGGTCCCTATGCTTTTCCAAGCTTGTTCCAAATAGGTGCTTTAGACCACTGAGCCATCTCTCCAGCCCTTTTTATTTATTTTGAGACAGGGTCTTGCTATGCAGTTCAGTCTGGCTTTGTGCTCACTTTTGTAGTCCCCAGGCTGGTCTTGAATTATCAGAGATCCTCCTGTCTCAATCTCCCAAGTGTTGGGATTACAGGCATGCACCACCACATCCAGTTCCTGGGCTGCACCTGGAGACGGTACAGCATGGGTAGGGATCAAACTCTGGTCCTTTTGCTTGCCAGGTAGGTGCTTAGGCCTCTGAGCTATCTCCTCAGCCCCTTTGGCTTAGTTTTTAGAAGAGTCTTATGTGTTGGTGAGGATTTATTGTCCTACATTTTGTTTGTTGCTTATTTGGAGATGGTAGGTTACAGTTTTTTTGTTCTCTGGCCTCACGTTTGTGGTGTACACTTTTTGTTTATATAGATGTTTTTTCTGCTCCTTAATCTTGATCTCTCCTCTTCTTTCCTCTCCTCTCTTCTCCTCTCACCCTGTTTGGTTCATTTTTTGTTTTGTGGGACAGGGTCTTGTTCTGTAATCAAGGCTGGTCTTGAACCTCATTGTAGTCCAGATTGGCCTTAAATTCACAGCAGTCATCCTGCCTCAGCCTCCTGAGTGCCGAAAGTACAGCCATATGCCACCACTCTCAGCTAATCTTCTTTTTCTCATAAAATACTCTGTCCATGTTTGACCTCAAATATTTCTCTGGTAGAGACCACTCAGTGGCATTAGTGCCTACCTGGTAAGCACAAGATTATGAGTTCAGTCTCTGGTGCAAAAGAAAAAAATCAAGTATTTCTCTGTTCATTTGGTGTAAAATTAGCTCCATTGAACTTGTAGGATCTGGCAAGGTTCAGTTAAGCTTTCCTGATTTCACAGAGCTTCCTTTTCAGTTGTTTGTGTTTAAGGTTAAAAAATGGGGGCTTACCAGGTATGGTGGTACTAATCTATAATCCCAGTAATTAGGAAACTGAGGCAGGAGGAACACTGAGTTCTAGGCCAGCCTGGTCTACATCGTGAATTTCAGTCCTGAACTAATAGTGAGACCCTGTCTCAAAAACAAAAATCCAAAACGAAACAAAAATAACCCTTATGTGTATATATGTGTGCATATATAAATGTATGTACATGGCTTCCTGTTGTATGGGATATTGTCTCAGTTACTCTTCTCTCCTTGCTGGGACAAAATAACCAACACCCTAAATTAAGGAAGGAAAGGTTTATTTAGCTCACAGTTGGTGGAAGTTTCAGTCCATATTCAGCTGGCTCCAAGGCAGAGTGGCACATGACCGAGGGCAGCAGTTGATAGCAACATGAAAGAGCAAAGGGAGGGGCAGCAGCTCTGAAGCTAGCAAGCCTCTCTCCCCACCTTACATTGTAATGCACATTATCCACCCCAGGGCTGGGGTGTAGCACTCAGACCTGGAATCACACCTTTGGATCAGGAGTTAATGACAAACTCCGAACTGCCCCAAGACTGTATGAGGCTTCAGGACAACTTGACACAAACCGTAACAAATATCTTGATTCCATCACTCATCAGTTGCTTCTGGCTGCTTGGATGTTTTTGCTGCCTTCTGCCTGCCATGAATGATTTCTCCTCTGTGATACCCTTCTGCCAGCTGATGATGAGCTGAAACATCTACCAACTGTGACCTAATTTTTTTTTTGTGAACTAATTAAACCTTTTCTCCTTCAACTTTGGGTATCAGGTATTTTGTCTCAGCAAAGAGAAAAAGTCAGGTCTTCTCTTTTAGTGTTTCTTTGTCCCTTGTCTGTTCAGTTTTTCTTCTATTCCCAGGTGTTTCTCCACTGTGCAAAGTCCTGTCCTACAAGAGTACCCTGCAATTTGGTTATGAGACTATAGAAGTTGGACTGCTAGCTGCTTTCAGTTCTTGTGTGAACCTTGGTACCTGAGGAGACAGAACCCCTGTGTATCAGTGACTGGTGTCACTTGAGCCTGCATTGTTTTGTTTTGTTTTTGAGATAAGGTCTCACTATGTAGCCCAGGCCAGCCTCATACTCACAGTGATCCTCCTGCCTCAGCCTGACATGGGCTGGGATTACAAATGTGCATCACTATGCCTAGTAAGTTTGATGAACATTAGTATCAGCACCTTAACTCGCTGTTCAGTTCATTCTACATTGCCAGTTCTGTTTACCAACAGTGGCCCACTGTATGCTT